GATCTATTGACATACTACTTAAGGCTTGTTTTAAATGATTACTTAAAATATTATATTCAAATTCTGGAATGTCAAAAAATGGTTCAGATTGTCGTGGTTGTATTATCTAAGATAAACAATAAAATTATAGTTCTTTGATCTCAAATTTAGATTGAGATTTTAATTTTTCTTTTTAGTTTTAGTGTTATTTACTCTTTAGTTTTTAGTTTTTTTTTGGATGCAATAAAAGACATTTACTAGGTACTAAGGCTAGGGTCATATAGTGATCATGACCCGCTACAATTAACACTATTTTAAAAGGTGATACTTATTAACAAGTCGAAGTGATAAAATCATTTTATACATACATGACATTTGTCTTATTTACTTATCGTTTTCTAATAAAGATTTAATCAATTGTTCCGACTTGCATCGTTTTTAAAAAAAAATAGAGATTTATTTATAAACTGGATCTTTACATAACGATGATGTTCAGTACGACAATTATCAGCTGAGGTCATCAGAAACAGAGGTATACGAGAGATATGCATAGTGCCTAACAACGGTAACTGAAAAACTTGCGCTATAATATTTCTTTAAAAACAAATTGAGACTTTTCTTTTTCATCACTAGCCTAAGAACAATAACATCAGGTTGAAAATGTCACGAAAGAATATTTAAGATTTCAAAAAACTATATTCTACAAAATAAGACGTCTCCGAGTTTTCTACGATGTTTTTTAGCTGAGATACAGCACTCTTACGAAAGTCCTAAAGCTATGTTTTTCCAATTTTCTATCAAAAAAACATTTTTTTGATCTTTAATCAAATTGTCGCATGTCAGTCAGAAGTCGTCGCAGAGAATTCGTTGATGTCACATAGTCACAATGAAACTCATTAAATTTTCAATTAGACCAATTTGGTATCAGAATAACTTCTTGTTCTAATCAACATTGATAACGATTTTAAATTTATATCTTTTCATTACTTTTCAACGTTTGATGTATCTTCTTTTTTTTTTTTCAAAAATTTCTAGCAGTACAATTTAATAGCTGATATAATTAAGGTGCGGGCGTTCGACGAATAAGAGGAGAAGTGAGGCGAAGCACCCGCCTAGTCGTCGTACTTCAAATTTTCTTCGACAGTGTGAACGATGCATATCTCTGAAGTATACTTATTTATAGTTGCTGAGACAACTTATTAACTATAATTCTTTGTCAAAGAGACCTAGACGTCATATTAGAAATGCAAAGAATTACCTAGAAGAAAATAACTTTTACTAAACACCACTTATTGACTATAGACATTAAAGACATTACTTTTCTATATAAATCAAATACTTAAATTTGTCAAGTTTATGTCACACACTTTTGATCTTTTCATAAATCAAGCTCCATGATCTATTAGTAATATTATATCGTTATATACTCGATAGTATCATCTAGTTAGAATCCAGGGGGTCTAAAATTTTCGGACCTGAATTCCACGGGTTGTACTTCTAGTAAACGTCCAATTATAGTGGAGAAACAATAAAAATTTCGTTTCAAGAGAAATAACCAAACAAATTCTTCCTCAATTTGAATATAAGACCAAAGAACTATAGATCCAATGAAATAAAGATACAAACTTGATTTGCATCAAGATCAACAATCCATATATCATCAAATTTTTGCATTGGCATTCCTTTATAAGGAAAAAAACTCGCCGGTACACCAATTATAAATGGTGTTGGAATAAACAAAAGCTAAAATACGTTTAAAACAAAATTTTTTTTTTTTGTTATTAAAACCACATTTTTCTTCTACTAACTTGTTCGGCACCAGTCATACATGTTGGTAATAATGGTATAACAGGAAACATATATTCAAGTGGATAAAGTAATGCAACAAATGCCAAAACACTCATTGTTAATGCATTATAATCACGAGATTGAAATACAACCTAATTTAAACAAGAAAAAAAAATTATTTTTCTTCTGTAACAAATAGTACAATTTGTATTTTATTTTTTTTTTCTGCCAGTTTTCATTTTAGAAACTTGTGCTTAGGTGTGCTTCTCTAACGTATCACAGCTTTGTAGAGAGTTTTTTATTTGTTTCTAAAAAAACTTGGATTTTTTCCGATCATTAGACAAACATAAAACATATCTAAGAATGTTTTCTGACTGTAATGAATCGATTTTGTTCTTGTAATATACAGTGGAGGTCATTTCAATTAAGCGTGATGACACAGAGACTGACTTTTTGAAACTAGATCGAAAATTGTTTGTATTCTAATAAATTTTTACCAATACTTCTAAATGTCCTAAAGATATTAATTTAAAATCGTAATTTTCGAAAACAATATAAGTTTATTTGAAGAGTCAAAGTCACAACGAATAGAATTCAAACAACTATTTTTCTAGTACACATTGAAGAAGGATAATATTATTCAGTCACGTCTTTTTTAAATTGAAAAGGTTAGATTAACCATTCTGATGTAATTTTGTCGAGAATTGAAAGAAGAATCTTTTGAGACTAGTCATAAACTTCTACAAATAAAATCTTAACCGAGAAAAAAGATTACGAAATACAAATTGTGTCATTATTTTATGAACCATTTGTTATAATTAATTTTCTAATATTACCTTATTTTCTAACATGATTAATGTTAAAACTCGTATACATAAATCTACACCAAGTAATTCAAGTGGTAGATGAAGAGGAAAATCTACAAGTGAAAATCTTGTATGATCAGGTAATGCAAATAACATTGGTGGTTCATTCGGTAATGTTTCAATCTAAATAAAATAAAATATTTTAAATAAAAATTAGAAGAAGCAAAAAAAATGATTTTATTTTTACTAAAATTTTTGTTTTTCCTGGTATAGAAACTGGTGCACTTAATAAACGTAATATCCATGTTTCAATTTCTCGTACTTCATGACCAACTAAATTAGATGTACATTCACATGCTTGACCTGTTAATACGCCCCAAACTGTTTCTCTATTAAATATATAAACATAGATTATAAATAAAAAAGAAAAAAAGAAGGAATGTGTGGATTTTGTTTTTCCTTGTATTCTAACCTAGATATTCCTTTTGATGCACCTGTACGTTTTGCACTTGATCGTTCATTACAAGCATCAATGATTGTTTTTAATGTTACTAGACATTCTCGAAAACGTGTAAAAAATGGATGATGACTTATAAGACAAATAGATGTTAATGTATTATTTCTTAAACGTCGTTTACGTTTATGTTCTTTATTATCTATTGTTTCATCATTACCACTTGTTTGTTCATTTGTTGATATTGTATGTGTTGTATCATCGGATGAATCATTTTGATCAAATTTTTCTTCATTATGATTATGTATTGAACATGTACGTCGAGGAAAATGTCGATAAAAATTTACACATATACCAAAACGTTGTCGATTGGAATCTTTTTCAGTTAAGGTAAATACAAATGATGTTAATTGACGAAATGCTGTACGTTGATGACCTGTATTTATACAACCTTCAGGTTGACAAAAAAATATAACATCAGGTGGTAATGAAAAATCTTTATGATCTTCTAATGGATAACGACGAAGTAATTCAGGTGTTTGTGTTACATGATTATATTTATTTGGATGTCGACAACCAACTATAATCACATAATCAACAAGACGTGGAGAAAAATAACGCTTTGTTTGTTCACACATTATATGTGATAATAATCATCAGATCTGAAAATAGATAATGACGATGCCAATGTCTATATTCATTATTTTCGATGCAAGCCAAACAAAATGCAAAACAGAACGAAGAAAAAAAAAATCTCTTGACTGACATAAGTATACATGAATGTATCAATTTTTCCATTCTGTTTCTAACAAAAAAGAGAAGGATGATTATGATGGTTGGTGACAGACGTTATAGAGACACTTGTTCGCTTAAGCATACAGTAGAAATAGAGGAAAACAATATTATACTACATTAAAAAATAGAAGTAGACAGAATAAAAGAAAAATGGAAGAACGAAGAAAAAGGAAGAAAGATGATTCTTGCTATTAATGATAATACTATTCGTCAATCAATATTAAGATAATGTTTAATGAAAAAAAAAATAGAAGGATCCATAACTTTTTCCCTAGACAGATGTTTGCGTGATACATGTGCACCCTAACATACTCTCTCCGATGGCACTGTATTATAATTCCTAGCAATCAAAACTAAATTAAAAATGTACCGGAATTAGATGTAGACATTGTCGTTATCATCCGCACCTTTACTTTACTATCACGAGAGTAATATTTTGGATTACCCAAATAGAAATAATGTGTTAATTTTAGTATACAAGGTTTTTTCTCATCAACCAATACTATCAAATAGACATAGATCATATTTCACATTTGCGGTCGACAAATACAAAAATCTTTTCCTTGTTTTTTTTTGAGTCTCTCACAACTAATCCTTATTTGATTACTTCTTTTTCAAAAGAAATAATGTATTATACTACATTCAAGTCTAGAGTAAACGAAATATTGAATTCATAAATTCAATTATGCGTAAAGTGTAAGTAGCTAAAATAAATTTTACAGGTAAAATTAATAATCTAAATAATTGTTTTTTTTTCTATTCTGTGTCTTAGCATATTTAATATAGATTAATTAGATATTATGGTTCATTCCAATTTTGTCTCTGCATGCAATAATGATAATCGTCTAGTTGATGCGACATCTGGCAAATTTTAAGATTACGTTCAGGTAGATACGTTTCTTTTTTAATAATCTTCTCGTAATATATTATACTTTCCGTATTGTAACAGCAAAATCTTCACTTGTTACAAAGTATTTCTTCTGTTAAGTGCCATTGACAATTTTATTAAGTACGATTCGAACAATATGTCAGAATTAGTAAAATGGGTTAATAAAAAAAAGCACCTATTTATATCTAAAGAAAGAAATGAAATGTTTAATCGTTTTTATTCTCAGTTACAAAAAAAAGAAGAAGGGTTTATTTCAAGAAAAAAAAAGAAAGCACGATAATATTTCATATCAACGACCATATTTTTGAAATTCCCATTCACGATTATCTAATGGACATACTTGACGTGTTTTAAGCCAACGTGAAATACAATGAAAATGAAATGCCTAATAATAATATACAAAATATTATATTCAAATATGAACATTGAAATTATAAATACATACATGATTGCATACACCCCAAGCAACAGTACATTCTTCAGTCGTTGCTGCAGCTTGATTTGCTTGACATTCAATACAAAGATCCATAATATGATTACGACATATTGCACAATTATCAACAACAATATCCCATGCCCATAATGTTACAGCATTCCATTTTTTAACTTCAAAACGTTTACGTTGTCCAACAGTTGTATCAGTTGCTGAACTACTTGGAATATCTGCATCATCAGTATTCATAGGTGTTGATTCTGATGTAGTCATTTATTTCAATATCGATTACTAATGAAAAATATCTATTATTAAAGAAGAAAATTTAAAAAGAAGAAAAACAATGATATTCATAGAAAGAAGAAAATTCAAATATAGATCCATAAAAATATAAAAACAAAAAAGAAATAAACACAAACAAGAAAAAAAAAATGATTTTTTAATTCGTCTGTTTTAAGCCAATCAATAAAAGACTAACAGACAACAAAATAACTTTGTAATTCATTCATTCATTCATTCATTCACTTAACATTGTCAATTCTTTATTTTTTTTTTCAGATTTTTGTAATACTGAGTAAAACTAGGAAGTTTAATTGAATGGCAACAAACAATGAAAATAAAATAGCTTTAATTACCGGTGCTAATAAAGGCATTGGTTTTGAAGTTGCGCGTCAGCTTGCTCAAAAGGGTATTCAAGTACTTCTTGGTTCTCGTGATGAACAACGAGGAAAGAAAGCTGTTGAACAACTTATTTCTGAAAATCTTCCTGTATCATTAATTCAAATTGATGTTACTAATCAATCATTAATTGATGTAGCTGTTAGTGAAATTACAAATAAATATGGTCATTTAGATATACTTATTAATAATAGTGGTATTTATATTAAAGAACCACGTCCAAGTCAATTAACTTTAGATATAATTCAAAATAATTTTAATGTTAATTTTTTTGGTGCATTTTCTGTAACAAAATCATTCTTACCATTAATTCGAAAATCTTTATCAGGACGTATTGTTAATGTATCAAGTGCTCTTGGTTCAATTTATTTTCATGAAACATGTAAACAATCATATTTTCATTTAGCATATAGTGCATCAAAAGCATCATTAAATATGTTAACATATCAATTAGCACAAGAATTAAAAAATACAAATATTAAAATAAATGTTTGTACACCTGGTTTAACAGCAACAGAATTAACAAATTTTCATGGTCATTCAGTTGAAATTGGTGCTAAGCCAATTGTTTTCTTAGCAACATTACCTGATGATGGACCATCAGGAAAATATTTTAATGAAAATTGTGAAGAAGAAAAATGGTAATGGAAAATATTTAAATTCAGATAGTCTTTTTTTTTTTTGTCTCCTAACAATAATGGGTATGGCTGATATATATATTGTATATGTTATATATTCAATATTTTATTCTTATTTTAATGTATTCCATTTAATCTAGTCAAACTTTATATACAACTGAAATATTGATGTATAATTTCAGATTAATTAAAGTTTTTTTTCTTCTTTTTAATCAACGAAAAAATTAATTATAACGAAACCATGAAAAGAGTAGCTGTAGTAAGTAGAGATAACATTCTTTTTTTTTTATTCGAAATTTGAATTGCTTTTTCTTTTTAATTTAAGGTTACTGGAGCAAATAAAGGCATAGGTTACGCAATTGTAGATAAACTTTGTTCGTTGTTTGATGGAGTTATTTATTTAACTGGTAGGTAAATTCAATACCTTTTTTTTTTGTTCATATGAAATAAATATCGATATAAAATGATTTATTTTATTGACCTTTTTTTTTTACAATTAGTATTGATCTCGATAGATTTTAATTGATTGTTTAAATAGATTTGTTTGGCAAGATTCAAACACAGTCTTATTACGTATTAATCAAAGCAAATTTCGACTTTCTTATTCTTTTCTGTAAACGATTAATTATTTGCATGTAAATTTTGTATTCAATTGACCTTTTATGCTATTGAGAAGAGATTTCAATCTTTCAAATTGATAATTAAATTAACTTTTAAGATTTTTACAATTGATCTGATTTTTAGTTGAATGATTTATTCCTATTGCATAATATTTCTATGTTTATTTAAAATGCTGTTTACACAGTGTAATCGTGATGATTTCTATTTGATTTTTAGCACGCAATGAAGAACTTGGTTTAAAAGCTGTTAAACAACTTCAAGCAACAAATCCTGACAGTGAAAAAAAAGTAAAATTTCATCAATTAGATATAACAAATGTTGAAAGTATTCATCGACTTGCTGAGCATATAAAAAAAACACATGGTGGATTGGACATTCTCATAAATAATGCAGCTATTGCTTTTAAAGTAATAAAAAAAAAATTTATTTATGATTTAATTAAGAATAATTATACTTATAGTCAAATGATGTTACTCCATTTGGTGATCAAGCTGAAATAACAGCTCAGACTAATTTTTTCGGTACGATTAACGTATGTAATGCTTTATTTCCGCTTCTACGAGATCATGCACGGTTTGTTGTCTTGTTAACTTTTTTTTTTCTTTTAATTTATTTAATTATAATTATTAAACATTATTTTTATAGCATTGTTAATCTCTCTAGTCGAGCTGGTATGCTTGATTCAATAAGAAATTCTGAAATACGTCAAAATCTAATTGCACCTACAGCAACAATTGAATCTATATCGGATATTCTTAACGATTTTATAAAGTAAAATCTTTAGAAGAAAAAAGAAAAATGTTTTTTTTAAGGGATACCACATCGGATAAAGTTAAAAATATAGAACATAAAATTTTGCACATTTGTTTACTTATTTTATTTATTCGTTAAATGTAAAAGAAAAAATTTTTCGAACACTAAGTTGTACTAAAAAAGTGTTTTAATTTTTGAGTGTTTTGGTTTATAAGTATACTGTCTATAATTTCTTCTTTTATGAATTTAATATGACAAGTAAAAGAGTAGATTGACATAGATTTTTTATGCTTTACAAAGTACTATAGTAATCATGTTTATTTTTAATTTCCCTCTTAAATTATGCAGGGTTGAATGAGTACGATATCACATCTGTATTATTCTACATACTGTAAAACAAAAGTTGATGATAAACATGATTACTGTGTCATTTTTTTTATAGTGTAAACAGCCGCGTCGATCTTTTCTTTCATTATTCATATTAGGTTTATAAAAGAAGAAATTATAAACATCATAGTTATTAACCGACATACCCGAAAGTAATACGTCTCGTAAGACAACTTAATCCTCGAAAAATTATTTTTGCATCCTACAAAAAAAAAAAGAAAAGTTGAATAGACAGAAATGTACAGAACTTCATGCACTATATTTCTATCTTATTGAAAATAAAATCTAGAAGAATGACAGAATTACGACTTTATTCGGCAATGCCCTTTACAATACTGATAAAAAAAATATAAGACTAACATATTTTTTATTTTTTTTTTCTACCATATCAAAGATTTAGTTCAAATTCAAATAACGGTTTGAATGGTTGATGAGTTTCTCTGTAAAGTACGTTTCGTACTGAACTTTCATAAATGAACTATATATCATGTTAAAGAGCATAAAATTCTGAATAAAATGAGGTTTTGTTGCATTTCCATTTTTTTTTGTGATGTCTGTAACATCTCAAAAGGAAGGTCGTAGGAAATGTGTCAACCCTTCATTAAACTCAGAATTTTATGCTCTTTAAGATAGTATTCTTAAAAAATAATTTCCATAGTTTTCTATGATCAAAAACCAACAATTTTTCGGTTTTTCATAAACCTCTCTCTCTCTCATAGTCTATCTATGAAATTTCAATCTTGAATGCATTTGATAGAGAATTTCATTGATTGTTTTATATCATAGGGAAAAACAAATCAAAAACATGTTGGTCTTATGTTTTTAATTAATATTATAAATTCAAAGTATACGTTTTTTTAGAAAAGCAAAACAAAATTCACATCAAGATGATGGTTATCCAAATTCAGCTTATGGTATGAGTAAAATTGCTATAACAGCTGTAACATTGATTCAGCAACGAATCTTCGATGAAAAACCAAATAGAGACATTGTTGTGAATGCTTGTTGTCCTGGTTATATAAATACTGATATGACATCAAGGAAAGGTACAGGTACACCAGAACAAGGTGCTGATACTCCAGTTTATTTGGCTACACTTGATCCAAATATAAAATTACCACGAGGTGAATTTGTTGCTGAAAGAAAAATTCTTAAATGGAAAAGTTAAATTTTTTTTTTTTTTTTCTGTGTATGTTTTTGTTCTTCTACTTATTCTTCTTTTTGTATAGCGAAGAATACATAAATGTACGCATAATTATTTTAGAATATTCAAGTTGATTGTAATGTTTTACTTTTTCTTTTTGTTTAGTTGGCATTTGTCTTTATTCGAGCTATGCATTTTCTGTTCCTGTGAAAATCGTTAGGGTCATTTAGTCAGTCTATTTTTGCAATCTTAAAGGAAAATAAATTACAACAAAAAAAAAGAACAAAGAACTTTATGTAATATTAAAATCAATTCTTTTTATTGAATATGAAATTTTCATCATATTGATGAATTAATAAAAAGAATGACATTTTATCGAATTCTAGATGTCTGATAATCGAACAACACATATTGATGAATATTTACCAATACAAGGTTTACTTTATTTTGATGAACAACTTAAATATGTGATATCAAAACCAAAAATTATGCCATTAAAATCTTTAACATTAGAAAAGGTTTTGTTCATGTCTTTTTTTGTTTTTTTTCTTTCGAGAATTATTATTCTTTAATTTCATGGTTTATTTTAGTTAGAAACATTACAAAATGAAGCACAAGAAAAATTAAAACAACAAGAAAAACTTGGAATGGATTTTCAATTGACTGAATGATATGTGCATATAGACATTTAAATTTAATATATTAATTTTAATGTTCGTAGATTCCAATAATAAATAATGAAATCTTATTTCTTGCCTGGAAAAATAAATACAATACATCATTTCCTTCCTTATCTATCGAATCATACATATATAATGGAACAATTTATTTTTTCGTCTTTTGAAGAACAGAAACACTAATCAAGGATTAATCTAAGCTCACTTGACAGAGAATTTTTTGCTCTACAAAAATGTGGATTTCGTTTGTTTTTTAAAGACCTTTCTTCAGTCAAAAGTCGACCTTAAGCCAGGGACATTCTAGCCGCATGGCATTATAAGGATATTTTGAGATTATAGTTGAGAGGCTATGATAAAATTTTGAGCCCTATACGATGATGTTTTCGAGAAATATTCGACTAACAAGCGTTAAAAATAGATTATTTTACAATCTGAAAGTCCCTATAGGCTTTTTTTCTATAGACTTAATTATTTTTTGTTTGAAAAAGCATGAAAGAGAATTCTTTTTTTTCTTCAAATCTTACTTTTTAAAGACAAAAAGAAAATTCAATGTCTCAAAAAATGATGTTCTACTCATAAAAGTACTTTTTTTTATATAATAATAATAAATTTTAATTAAAAAAATGTACTTTCTCATTCTCCACTTGTCAACATGATCTTTCAAATAAAGAAAAGCTTTTGGCTACCATGAAGCTCGTTGGAGAACTCTGGGGGATGCACGACTAAAAAGTCATAAGTAAAACAAAAAAAACTTTTCCACTTCATCTAAACAGAAAACGAGGTATCAAATAAGAAATCCTGTCATTTATGAAAGATTAGACGCCGGATCATCTCTTTTCATGCGTTTATTTTAATTTTCCTGTTTTTCACGAAAATTGGCTCTTGTTTTTTTTAGGGACGGCTTCCATAAGTTCTTTTTGTCAACAAAAAATTGCAAAGATTGACGACAGTTTCACTGCAGACAAGCTTATATTTATTTTCGATGGAACTTTTATTTAAACATATTTTTAAATAAGTTTCTTATTTTCTGACAGACATAATTCAATGGAATAGTGATTGTCAATCTCTTTCGACAAGAAAAAAGAAAATTAAAGTGTTCCATTCTTTATGGGCTACTCGTTATATATGAATACTAAACAAGCATATTCACTCATCATAACAACTACTAAAGATTTCAACGGAAGTCTATAATTTGTTCGAAAATCAACGAGACATTGAAGTATATAGTCAAATCTATGGAAATTCACTTTTCCTCTTGCAAAAAAAAGAAAAATTCTGATTGCTTCAACATCATTGATCGACATGCTAAATTTACAGCGGAAAATATATGTCATTTTTCTTAAGACAAAGGAAATTGCATGTCAGAATAAATTATTGATTGAGAAGATCTTGAATAATGCAATGATTTATAAAAATGAGACAGTGTGAACGTAATTAAATTTCTTATACAAGAACGCAATTGTTGTTAAATGAATGTATTTTGAGAATATATATTCTTTGATTTATAATTATTGTTTCACTTTTGTTGACATGCAATAAATACTCTTTTAATGGCATAAGTATTTTTTTTTTCATGGTTAAGTATGACATATTTTGAAAAATGAATGTACTTTTTGTTCTCTATCATAGCATCAAAAAGAAATCAACATATGATGAATCATAAGTACTATGGTTGTTTTTCTATGTAATATATACTATTATTACTAAATTTTTTCAAAGATAATTAATAGATTGTTGTCGATAAGATCAACTTATAATGAAAAGTGAAGGTTGTCAGAAAATTTTTTCATCAATTAAACTTTGTGGAAACTATTTCCATTGATTGTTTTATGTCAAATAAATGATGGTGTTTGTATCAAAGTATTGAAAAATTTAACATAGATTTGTCGTTAGAGCTTTGATATTTTACTGTGTTTGGATTTTACGAACGTTATTTATTTTTCAAATTTAAAATATTTTTTTACGAAAGATGATCAGTACAGATAGCTCTAAAAAGTCTGATATGTGAAAAGATTTTCTGAGAATTGCTGATATTTCATAGGTGACTACCCATGCAAGTATCAAGTTATACTCTTAATCATTATTCTATAGCACATTATTAAGTTATAAGAGCAAGGTTTAATTGAATTTTTTTCTTTGATGTCGAGTAACTAACTCAAGATCAAATAATGGTTGCGATAACTAATAAAGTTCTCTATCAGATGAACCACAAATCAAGACTTCATAGTTGGACAATGTTGGAAAGTTTTCTAAAAGATTTCCCGCAATGGTTCTTAGATTCAAGAATGCATTATGGAAGTTCACTTTTAACAGCACCATCTGAAACACCACAAAGTTCTTAACAAAATCCGTGCGCATAACTTTGCAATAGAAGGTCATAAATTCAGATGGTACTGTTAAAAGCGAACTTTCATGAGGCACTATTGAATCTCAGAATTATCATGTTAAATCGTTTAGAAAACATTCTTACATTGTTCATCTATGAAGCCTTGATATATTTAGTGCATCTAATAGAGAAATTATGTTAGACTTATAATTTTGAACAATATTAATTACTTTTATTTCTTAGAAAAAGTCCAATAATATACATTGAAATAACATTTCAAATGTTTTAACTTCTATATCAAATCAGCCCATACCTCATCATAGAATACAATTTAAAAAAAAAAATTTCTAGTCAACCGTCAACGAATGCATTGATTTATTCAAACTATAAAAACAAAGTTTTTTTCCCAAGCAGAACTACTAAAGACACAAAGCAAATATTTATCTGCAAAAAAAAAGCTTTTACTAATTGTAAAGCATAATTTAAAATAAAGCATGTATATTTATTCAATACGTTTTTTCAAGGATTTCTATTAGAAGAAAAAAAAAAACAGTGAATAAACAAATGAAATATAAAGCTTCAATGGAAGATATGTTTACTTTGAAAAAACACTTCAAATTAAAATTAATTTTAATGTAATAAAAATGTAATTTAAAATTACAACAAAATAAATACATTAATAGAAATGAATGTAAATAAAATATGTTTATTTACGTTCAGATGGATCTTTAAGTATTTCTAAAAGTAATTTTTTATAATTTCCACTTGTATCTGAACTAACATCACGTTCTAATTCTTGCTTAAATAGATTCTTATATGCTTTTTTAATTTGAACAAGATCTATTTCTGAACGTGTTATTATTATTCGAGTTAATGTTGATTCTTTTGTACCGAAATCCTATTATATTTAAATAAAATTGAATTTATTTATTTAAAAAAAAAAACATTATATTCTTACTTTCATAGCTTTATTTAATTGTTCAGCAAAAAAATTTGGACGATTTTGTATACATCGTATAACAGCTAAAATACCTTTTTGAAGATCTCCACTTGTTTCTTTCTTGACTATTTCCTCTAAAGAAAATTTACAAAAAAATAAAAGAAAATTATTCTTTTATGCCTACCAATGGGTTTTCCAGTTAATTCAGTATATTGTTTAAATATGACTTTTAATTCTAAATCACTTCTATTACAGAATAAAGCATTAAATTTTGATTTATCACTTCCGAATTTATCAGAACCAGCATCAATTAATGATTGTGCATCTTTTCTCGCTTGATTAACATCAACTTCAATTGTTTCAGGTCGATTACCTTGTAAAAGTGATGCAAGTAAATGACGAAAATTTCCACTTGTATCTGATTTAACATCTTTTTCTAATGGTTTTGAATACACTATCAAAATAAATAAATATTAAAAAAAAATCTCTTTTTGTTAATATAAGATTTGAGTAACATTCTGCTAGTCATAGATGGGTAGAGTTCGTTGAGTTAATTGTAAAAATATTGTGTTTCATATAATTGAACAAAGTTGTTCTCGTGAAACTTGTACAATTTCAGTTTACTGACCCTTGATGTTACTGATTAGTGAGGGCAATCTTCCAACTGATGAATCGCTTTTGAGTCGAAGCTATGTAACCTGAAGAGAGTTTGCATCTTTAGCTTATTGCTATGAAGAACATTGAACGTTTACAGTTTGTTTTTTCAAAATGAATGTAGCAACACCAGAAAAAGAGATTTTCGAATTTCTGCTTGGAATTTAGCATAAACAAAGCTCTCAATGATATTAGTTAATTGTGAAAGTGTCACTGATTTTTGTAAGTCCTACTTTGAGATATGCATGAAGAAAATTTTCTAATAAAAAAGCAATCATTTTTCGTATACTGATATCTCAATTTTATTCGTCGTATGATTAGAAAAAAAATTATCCATGATTTTTTGCTAAAATCACTGAGAAGATCGGCTTTTTTTCGATGTGATAACAAAACGCCATAAAAATGGGTTCGTATTCAAAGATTTGAACAATCGAAAATTCAGTTTCAAATAAACCGAACATCACATGTAGAATCAACAGAAAAATCTTCGCCAAATGATTTAGTCCATTCTAAAAATTAGTTTTCATCGAATTTCGATCTTTATTTCATCTTACCGTTATTTTTGAATAATCTGACTTATGCTTTTTCTAAAAATTGAAATTAATTTTTAGAACTGATTATATTATTCGATGCAGGTTTGAGTGAGGGCGTTATCGAAAAGAAGATTCGCACACTCATATCGAGATAAATCTTGATCAAGAGAATCTGACATCTTGAGAAATATTTTTTATACACCGACCGCGGTTAATTTAATAGCATTCGAGAAGTTTTGCTCGAAATACTGGCATCTGTTGCCTTGGAATTTCTAATTTGAAGAGAGGATCTTCTATTCCGAAGAGTCATTTATGGTGTTCTTTATAGATCTTTCGTTCGAAAAAATATTGTTCGATTATGTCAAAAATAATGTCGTTAGAAGAAACTCGACATGCTCTATTCAACCATGACAAAAAAAAAGTATTTTTTACTTCAGTTTTGATTTATCGGCATCTTACTTTTAGCGTATGTTTCATTAATTAATTGTATTCTTTCATTACTACGACTTGCTAAAATTTCAATTAATGCTTCTTCATTTGTACCAACACCTTTAACAGCTTGTTTTAATTCAAAACAATCAAGTTCAACTTGATCTAACATTAATCGTTCAAGTAAATTACTGAAATCTCCAGACGTTTCTGATTTCAAATCAGATACTAAATCCTATTGAATTTATTTCTATAATTAATAACAAAAAAACCAAGAATCAAATAGAATAAATAACTTACACTATTCAATTTATTTTTAAATGCAGTTTTAATTTCTAATCGTTGAAATGTATTTCGATTACCTAAAATATCTATTAATGTTTGTTCTTTAGTACCAAATCCTTTCATGGCTTTTCGTAATGTATCAGCATCACGATTTGCATCAAAATTTTTCGCAGCTATCATTGTTCCTTGTTGCTAAAAATACATAAAACAAAAAAAAAAAAAAAAGTGAAAATTTATATTTTAAAAGAACTATTTACAATATTATCTTCTCTATAAATTTTAGGTTGTTCATCATCCGATAGATCAATATTTTCTTCTTTTTTTTCTAAATAAATATATTCTAATGATGAAAATAAATTTAAATGAATTTATTTTACTATTTTTAGCCTTTTGTATTGTTCGTTGACTTGGATCTTTTATTAATTCAAGAAGAATTTTTCCATAATATTCACTTGTATCACTCTAAATCATAGATTTATTATAAATTTATATTTAAGAAAAAATTAAATTTACTTGAACATGATCTTCTAATGAATGTTTCATTATATTTTCATATTCGTCTTTTATTTGAATCATATCAACTTCACAACGTGATATAATTACACGATTTAATTCACCTTCATCAGTACCTGCACCCTATAATAATCAGATATTAAATAAAAATAAATTTTAATTCATTTATATATCATATGAAAATTTTTTTTTTCATTAAACACTAGAGCATGAATATCAAGAGAACATGTCAACTTATATATGGGTGCGATCAACTGGGAGGGGACCCCATTTCGATACACTCCTATTGTACGGATAAAACATACTATTGTTCGGGTCATATAAGAGAGGATCCTAGATAACCCTGGATTGGCCCGAACAACATCATGTTTTATTCGTACAATAGCTGAGAAAAGCTACGAGCTTATCGTGTGAGTTGGTAGCTTTTCTCTACTATTGTACNACAACATAGATTTTTCTTCATGAATTTCGGTACAAAATTATTGGGCTACAGAAATAAAACTAAAACTTCAAGAATACATCACAAAAAAAACAAACAAACGGAGTATTATATTTTTCATAAAAATGCTTATGTTGATTTTGCTTATGCATTGCAAATCATTAATAATTATACATATCTGCGCAAGCGACTTTTAACAGCAATTATAATCATACTACATTACATTTTTTTTGTTTCTTCATTATTTTTCTAGTAACTGATGTATTTTATCTATGGCTTGCTTTTGTTTACCCTTTAAATAGGTAGTTGGGTTTTGAGTGCAATTGATGTCCAAAAGCATGACATCCAATACAAAATTTAGCGTAAAAGAACATTTAAAACAAATTATACATCTATATAAATTCTTCTCTCTCAAAATTCTTTTTATTCATTGATTTGTTGCATTTAACGACCAACACATATGAGACAACAATTGTTCAATTATCGTTACTAGTAAAATCTCTACCAAATAAATGATAGTTAGCAATCTATGATATTGTTATGATTCATCAAAATTCACTATCTAAGGACCTTCGCTATTATAACTCTCTTTTATCTAGACAATATTTTATTATAAGCAATAACGATTATAAACTTTAAGAAGTTCCGTAATAATCAAATAAATCACATTTGTTCGATATATGAGATTAATCTTTTATTTCTCATTCGGTCATCAACATAAATCAAATTTTACTCTCACAACTATCTTTGTTTTTTTGTATCAACAAAAAATTACATGAATAAAATCTACGCAAAACAGAACGACAAGAAACAACACAAAATAAATATAAAATAAGTGAAGACGTTATCAATAGTTTTCTTCAATAAAATGAGATTCCAAAATGGTAAATATAGTTCAGAACATAGAAATTCTATACAAAATGATAATAAAACTTTACCATCACTTCCATTGAATATAAATGAATCAATACCAAGTGAAAAATCAACTGAAGAAGATTCATCGTTGCCAATATTTATTCATCAGCAATCTTTAACAGATACATTATCATCAAATATTCATACAGGTAATACTTGAAAGTTGAATTCAACTATTCACCTATTCAATTATTGAATATTTGAAGTTTTCAAGTATTTAAGTATTCAATAATTGGGTGAGGGTATGGATATGTATGAATAGAAGACCTATATCCACACCGACACTCACACCGCCACACCTACCAACACCTACACCCACACACATCACACACCCAGTTACACCCCACACAGCCACATCCAATAATCAAAGAAAAGAAACGATCAAAGAAGAGAAACGATGGACTACATAATCAACGAATATTTTTGATGGCAAGCAAGCGAGTAGATAGTGACAAAAAAATTCAAGGGAAGAAGCTGCTCATAGCAACAATCGTCATACACTTATGCTCATTTTCATTGGTTGGGGGCTTATAAGCGAAATCGAAATAAGGCTCACTACAAGTACAATCTAAATCAAGAAAAAATAGATGGTGAGTGATCAAAGATGCGCATGTTTTATCTGTACTTACTGGATGATGTAACTGCTACTTGCGTCCATGGTGGACTGTAAAAACCTACAATCAACGTCAGAGTGCCTCGTTTACAACTTCCAACACCAGCTGACAACTTGTATTCAGTTGCACCAGTGTCAATAAAAATAGAAAAATTACTTATATCAATTTCTTGATACGCAGACACTAGCTTCTCCTCAGTATTAACTGTAAAATGAAAAGAGTATTTGTTGGTCGAATTTTGATTGTTAAAGACCATCGGATAAGAATAGTATTGTTGATTATACTTAATCGAGTTGGATGTAGAATGGGTTAAGCACTAAAAGAAGTGTAGGTCAATATAATATGAAAAAGTGAATTAATGTATTGACTGATTTCAACCTCGATACCATAAGTCAAGTCAGACCATCTTCAATAGCGCGGTTGTTTCTTTCTCAAAGAAAAGAAAGTCGATAAACTCACGTTTACTTCAGCATTTCCGTTCAACACTAAATTTGTTTCATCAATTGACCATGTAACGGGTGCGGCATAATGAATGGCTGCATTTTGCATTTCATTTTTTCATCATTTAATTTGCTTTATTAAAAAACAGCATATACAAAAAGATGCAGCGTGAAAAGCTCTACAATTTACAGTAGACCACTTTTGTATTATCGCATTTTTTGTTTTTTTGTTTCTGAAATAAACGAAATTTGGAGCGACCAAATTTCGACGCTTCGAAAACATACTTTTTTGGCCCAGATCGAGAAGTACGGGCGGGTTCCGGCAGGAAAACACCGCAAGTCGCCGAAACAGAGCGGTAGTATTCCGGCTGGAAAATTTTCGGATTTTTTCCCGTGACTTCCGGTCAAATTCCTCCCATTTTCTGCAGGAAATTGTCCAGAAGTCACCGGAAAAAATCCAAAAATTTTCCAGCTGGAATACTGCCACCCTGTTCCGGCGACTTCCGAGGTTTTCCTGCCGAATACGCTGAATTTCCTCGCCTCTTTGCTGCACAATCCTGCGGGTCCCGGTGACCGGAATCTTCGACCTGGGGGTATACGACGAATTCGTTTTTTCTTATTTCATCTTTTTATCACCTGGTATCTTCTATTTAAAAACAAAACAAAATATACCAAACGATGTAGCGTGAAAAGCTCTATAATTTACACAAAACATCTTTTCTTACAGTTGCACTTTTTTCTTTCAAAATCAACAAAAATTCTAAGCAACTAAATTTCTACGTGGTGAAAACGATATCTTTTTGGTACACGACGAATGCGTTTTTTCTTATTTACCACCTGCTATGTTTTATTAAAAAATAACAAAAATACGCCAAAAAACGCAGCGTGAAAAGTTCTAGAATTTACAAAGAACAATTATAAAAGCATGAAATGAGAAAAAATGAATTCGTCGTATACCAAAAACAAGTTTGTTTTCGAAGCGTCGAAATTTGGTCGCTCCAAAATTCATTCATTTGAGAAACAAAAAGTGCAATAATAAAAAACGCGGTCTATTGTAAATTGTAGAGCTTGTCACGCTGCATCTTTTGGTATATCCTGTTTTTTTTTAATAAAGCGAATTAAATGATGAAAAAATGAAATGCAGAATGCAGCCATTCATTATGCCCGACCCGTTATTATCGTCAAAAAATATGATGAAAGTCTTTTGGAAAGAGTCTCAAGTTGGAAAGTGGATTCAACATTTGAAGAAGGAGCAGACACAAACACCTGCAGTCGTTCGCAGTGTAAAGTGACATTTGATCGATACATCTCACTAGTGTAATGCTTTTTTTTCTTCCTGCAATCATATTACAGCGCTTCATTTAATAATAAAAATGCTGTTAGAGCAATCCCTGTGGGAGAAAAATCTGAAACCCGATCGAGCTGCTTATCTTGTTAAGGAGGAAAGTTATCAACATAGGTTTCGATTTGTGAATTGCTATCTATTACTAACACATGTCGATGGTGAAATATATTAGTTGTAATATGTTAAAGTGAATGAGAAAGAAGGCCAACGAGCAGATATCTTAAATTCAGTCATGTTTCATACTGATCCTACAAGAGACTTCAGTTTCGGGGGTATGCCTCTCACGATCTGTGATGAATTGTTGCTAAGATGTCTGTCACGCCTGTGGGCAGGGGAGGGAGTATTGGGTTCAAATTTCTAACCCTATACACTTCGACACTTCTTTTAGATGGTGTTTCACAAAAGTTTTTGAAACATTTTTTATCATTCTCAATACAATGGGAAGTAGAACTATCTGATAGATTGTTCATTTTGAGTATGGTGTAGGCCATCAGGACAAGTCAATAAGGATTTGTTCAGACAATTTTTGTAGAGCTTTTCACGACGCATCTTTTAAAAACTTCAAGGTTCTATCTTTTATCTAAGCCGAAATATGTGTGTAATAAAAAACGATTCAAACATTTTGTCACCCGCGGTGTTGGTGGACGTTATCTGATAAATAAGAGAAAAAAAATGAAAAGAAAAACAAATGACGTACATATAATTGCGTATATCACCTTCATAAATACATGATATATCAATTGACGTCACAATTTTTTGCGAAAGTGATGAGTTTATTTTTCTGAATAGTTATATATATCCCTATAAATATTACAATAATCATAAAATTTTTAATTCCAGAAGAATATTATTGAATATTACTAAAATGGTTCGTTTTCATTACTGGTTAATATTTATGATATTACTTGTTATCACAAATAATCTTGCTACTGTCAATGGAGAAACTGCACCCTGCAATTGCAAATCTTTGAATGGTCAATGCATCTCGGGAAGCAAAATTAGAGAATATAATAAGCAGTGTTTAAGCTGTCAAACCAATTCTGATTGCTGCCTTCCTTGCTGCCCTCCTGTCCTGAGACAAAATCAGCCACCTTGTTGTGATTGCGGCTTCAGAGGCTGAGAAGGTATGTTTTACAAACATAATGTATTATTGCAAATTTTTAACCAAACCATTTCGAATATCTGCTGCTATTATATTTATTACTAATTATTACAAAGAAATTAATTAATTCTTTTTCCATATAGGTTCATATTTCAATATAATTTTATCATGATTAATTTATGCTCTTATATTTATTAGTTCTAAATCTAGATTTTTAATAAATAATAATGCTCAGAAAAGAAAATCCATAATCAATGAAAGCATCTCCGAAGAATAGATGATATATTATATAATGCTATATCAGATATTTGAAGATGAATAACATTGCAGTTCTTCTGTAAGCATAAAAGCTGCCTATCGATAAAATGATTCTTTACTAAATAACAATAGATAGCAGATCGCCGCATGGAATTGGATACTTACAGAAATCTTTTCTCATCAGACGATGTGTTTTTTGGTTCGAATATCGAATACCATGCGATGAAATAGATAAAATAAATCGACCTATGAGTTCATTTTCAAAACTTAATTAGATCAGTTATAAATGAAAAAACAAGAGTTTTCAAACAATGAGTTTTATTTTTCTTCTTTATACCTGAAAATCTCTTTGATTATCTGTATGCTACACAAAAGCAAGAAGAGAATGCATAATGAATGTAAAGGGTGTGGGTGTGGGTAGAGGTGCTAGCCGTCGATTTCTCGCCGCCGCCGCCGCCGTCGATTGAATTAGAATGTGTAGTTCAAACTTCTTCCTTTTCTAAATAACCAATTAGGCGACAAGACAAAAGGTATGAAACATATAAATAGTTGCGTTCGCATTGCACATTCATTGACAAACATGACATTACTGCTAACATTATATTATATCTGGCAAGTGAAGAAAAACTGGTTACTCCGCTAGGATGACGCACTGTGCTCGAGATGTGTACATCACACTCCGTTCTTTCAAGATCAGTCAATCTCTTGCATGGTCATACTTTGGTCAACTGACATCATTAAAAACGAAAAAAGCGATCGATAACAATACTGTTTATTGGAAGATTTGCTTTGACAAACAACTCGATGAGCATCCTGATGATCCATTGTCGTCATTAGCGATATAGAAACAACTTACTCATTACACCGAGAACATCAACACTGAAAATATGCTGTTATATCTTTCTACGAAACACGGAATCGTCAGTAAAGAACAAGTGAAAATTACTGCTGAGCATGTTTCAAACTTCTTCAAACCGGCAACATACGCAACAACGAAATTGAACAAAAATCGTAAAGAACAGCTTGCTTCTGGCTTAACATGAATGTGCTGTCGCGACCTACTACCATTTTCTATTGTATCTAATCAAGGCTTCGAAGATTTTTTGATGGCATATGGTATTGTCAACATTGTCAATGATATTCCTTCTCGCGCGACACTCAATCCTTTTCACTTAAACAAATTATATGATACGTACATGGATCGTCTCAATGAAGAATTGAAAGAAGCACCGTATTTCCCAGATATGACATGCGATATGTGGACAGACAAATATAGACATCGCTCTTATATTTGCTTCACTCTTCATTTCGTTGATTCATTACTTATTTCATATTCGTATACTCTTCGGAATGAACCATTCGATCATCTACAATCGGCTGAAGCGATTAAGCAACGTTTGATCAAAGTCTGCGACGATTTTGGCTCGAATACTGGAAAAATCATTATTGTATCAGACAAAGGTTCGAATGTACAAAAAGTTCAGCGTCTGGAACATATTATGTGTTCATCGTGAGCTGCCCATGGTCTACATAATTTACTTAGGGTCGATGTTATTCCCAAAATCGACGGGCTATTAGCATTAGTGGACAAAGTTCAAGCAATCATCTTCAAATTGAGATATCGTGAAAATGAGCTACGTGATACGTTTTTATTGTCGAGCAATCACTCGAATGATGCTATGATTGAAGACATTCGTACAGCATCTGAATTATTGGATGCTGATATGTCGTCTCCGATTGGACTTGATGCAGAAGACGATGACAATGCACTGCTCGCATTACTTCTGACAACGACGATCGTATGTGAAGAACATCTAATAAATCGTTCAATCGAATCAAAACAATTTTATACACTGAAAAAACGAGTGCCCACACATTGGAACACGATTCTCATCATGCTTCAATCATTCTTGCCCAATATCGACGCAATTGAGACCGTTATCATCCGAGTGAATAATGCCGATATGCTTCCATCATTCGATGAATTGGAATTACTCAAAGTTTTCGTAATCTATCTCTCAGTATTCAAAAGTGTTACAAAGATTTTGTCTGCCTCAAAAACGTATCCAATGCGATGCCTTTATCTTCTTCTTCGCAAGGAGATTGAACGAATTTCTCAATCCGATGATGGTGACAATGAGTTCATGCTCAAGTTAAAGATGCTCGTTCAAGAAAATATCAACAAACGTTTACCCGTTTCTGAACTCACGTGTACAGCTTTCATATTAGACCCATCTCTCTCAAAAATTGATATTGACAGTTATCTTCAAACCATTGGAAAGTCCAAAGAGAAGTTGCTTCAGTTGATGATTGGACGATTCAAATTGAATAATAATCAAGATTTAACAATATCTCCTAGCAAATTGGTGATAGCAAATGGTTCTTCTATTTTAGCGTCGCCCAATGTTTGTGCATCATCAACGTATAATACCCGCGACTGCCGGCTTTCAATCGAATCTCTCGACAAACAAGCCATTGAATTAAAGAAGCTAAAAACAAATCTCATCGAGTTGTGCAGCGAGTCAACTGTCCAATATTCTGAATTATCGAATGAAATCAAGGCCTACTTACAAGTCAACGCTGTGTGTGACGATATTCTATTGTGGTGGAAGAATGCGAAAAATTCGTATCCACATTTGGCGTAGCTGACTCGGATTGTTCTGACCGTACCAGCTACTTCAACACCATCTGAAGAGGTATTTTCGACTGCTGGCTTAATATTATCTGCCAAACAATCACAACTTGCACCGGGGACTGTCGGAAAAATACAATTTACTCACTATGACTATTCTATGTTCAAGTAGATTTAAATAATATTATTGTTGTTTCTGCTTCCACCATGCATTACTGTTATTTTTCTTTAACTTATTGTACCTTAGAACATTGAAATTCTTGACTTGATAAAAATAAACTGAAGTATAGCGGAAAACCTTTTTAGAAAAGGAGAGATCCACGTTGCAAGAGGTATACAACGTTATATTTCTGTGAGAACAGAAAGTCTAATGTTTGCCTCAGCAGTAGAGGACAATGGAAAGACTGAAATTATATACGAAGGATTTCGCCGCCGTCGGTATTTTGAGACTTTTCCGCCGCCACCGCTGAGAAAAGGATCGGCTAGCACCTCTACTCACACCCCACACCCACACCCATAATGCACAAGCATGAAAGTAAACCAAAGAATATGAGAAGGATATATGCATGATTATTTTAGTGATAAAAGATATTGAATCTTCGATCATGAATTTCTTTTAATAATAACAGTAAATCGTTTTTCAGATTCTTTCATTCAATTCTTTTAGAGTTTTAATGAGTAATCTGCATAAGTCAATCCAACCTGTTGAATGTGATAGTGTTTGAGCATCTGTACTCGCTCAAATCTGAGGGAAAAAACCCATCACTGTCTTATCAGAAGAAAGGTGACGCATGTTGGAAATATGACATGCTCGCTCTGCACGTGATATTTGAGATAAAGTTATCAAACAAAAGTTTGAATGCAAGACGAAAAAGTCAATTGTACTTCGTTTTTTTTTCAACGATGTCTTGGTTTGACACTTTGATTCGGTGGGGTAAACAAAATTCAACTGATCATGAGCATGAACAGACAATTAACCATGACAATGTAAGTGAACTCTATGTCGCATGTTTTGAAGGAGATCTTGATCGTGCTCATCAATATTTATTAAAAACTCCATTTGCAGAGGTAAATCGTCGAGAATGTAATGGTAGTACTGCTTTAAATGCAGCTGTTCAATGTGGTCATATTGAAATGATTGATCTTCTTTTAAATAAATATGGCGTTATTAGACATTTATGTGACAATCAAGGTCGAACTGCTTATGATTTAGCAAAAAGTAACGAAATTCGACGATTATTTCAACGACCAACATCGAATGGCAATCGATTTTGTGAAAAGCCTGATTCATTGGAAATGTTTAGCGGTTCTCAAAAAAATAATAAAGAAAAAGCAACATTTAAACGGGTAGAAACCTATGGCAGTTATGTGATGAAATTCGTCGACGTGAGACTCTCGCTACTTTTTACGAGTTTCATTGGACGAAAACCGATAACGATTTTTTGTATAATTTTATTTTTCAACGATCGATCAAACGAACTGAAAAAGAACAACTTGAAGGTTTATTAACGATTATTGAACAATCGATCAAACCATCTGATCTTAACTATAACAAATCTGTTGAACTCTTTCACGAGTTCTCAAAAAGTAACAAAGCAGAGCCATTAATTCGGTTATATACACTTGAAACACCGGTTTATCGATTTGTTAATCGAGGAGATGATTCCAAGATGATTTTTGCTCTTTGATGAATAATTGTAAAGATTTACTTTATGGTCGATCATTCACAGGAACGACTTATCGAGGTTTAGGAATGACATCACATGATTTACAAATTTATCATTGGGCACGAGAAAATCCGGATCGATATTTACAATTGAATACATTTTGTTCTTCTACATTCGATGAACCTTTAGCAAAGATGTATGCAGATGCCAATGCCAATGAGCAACAAAAACAAGTTTTAATTATTTTCAATTTTTTAAGACCAAGTGTCAATGCTATTTGTTTGTATCAAATTTCAAACCAATTACATTCTTATTCAGATTTTCAAGATAAGCAAGAAGTTCTTATTGTGTCTGGGATAGCTTTTTCTGTGACAAATATTGAACAAACTTCATCTTTAATAACGATTTCGATGACACATTTGAATTTAATTGAAAAGATGGCAGAATTTGAAGAAATTTTAATTGATGAACAGTTGTCATCCTATTGAACATTTCTTGAAATACTCAATTGTCCATTAATAATCAAAAGTTTAAGGTGTGAATAAAGATAAAACACTCATCTACATTCATTCCTAGTAAGATGAACTTTAATATGTCATTTTGCAATATCACACAGAAGATCTGAATACTTTTCCTCTATTGAACTATCTATTCACTCCGAAAAAACTATTTCTATACGTATTATTTCAGAAATATTACTGTTCATGATTACTAAAAAATCAATCAAATAAGAGAAAAATAGCCTTCGTTCGAAATTAATTTTCTCAACAGAGACAGGTATAGCACAGATGATCTTGTCACGAATGAAGCGGTTAACTATACGTTTTAGGTTGATGCCGACATAGATAGAACCTAAGCAGGAATGGTTCATTTAAGGCAGCATTAAGAAAAGTCATTTTTATCAGGAAAATATGATAGATGGCATCACTATCAACGTAAAAGTATTTTGCTTTTATCTCAAGTCGCTCATCAGTCCTCGATTTTTCAGTCTGTACGTTTTAATCAGAAAAAAATTCTCTACAAAATGCACTAGGTCCCGCCACTGGCGCCGAACTTCGTGTAAAAAGTGGTATGTTTCAGATGGATATGCTCAGATTTTATACCGATGTTATATGTGCTTGAAGGGTTTATAACAGTGAGAGTATATGACGCATATTGGAGGGTTTATTATTCAACGTTTCATTGGGAGAATTCGATATTCTACAATTTCATCGGAAGCGTTTATTATTCAGAAAATAATGGTTGACTATCTAATGTTTTTGTAGGATATAGGTATTCCGATATTTGTCCAGCATCTTATCAGAAGGATAATGCAAAATGATTTTTTTTTTGTTTGATTTTCTCTATTTAGTTATCACTATATATTGAGATATATTACATCTACTTTTTTTATCCTAGAAAACCACTTCAGAAGTACAACCAATTCCTTACTTTCGTCGGAATTATGTTCATCGTAGTCTCCGTTGTGTATTTTGACAATCGTTACATACCCCCATTTCCGAATTGTTATACTCTTATACCTACGTGTGGCGCAACATTGATTATTATTTTCGGAAGCAAAGACTCTTTAGTCGGACGTTTGCTCTCTACCCGTCTACTACGCTGGATGGGTCTCGTTTCGTATAGTGCCTACCTTTGGCATCAACCATTACTTGTATTTGCTCGTCTACGATCATACGATACACTAAAAGACTTCTATATTCTCATCATTATCAGTGTTGTTTTTCCTCTTGCCGCATTCAGCTATTTCTTTATTGAACAGCCGTTTCGAAATAAAACATTCTTTTCTCGAAAGCAAATATTCTACGCTACTTGTCAAACTACTATAATCACATTCTTTCTTGCATTGTTTCTTATTCGAACCGCGAACAACCGATCGCTAATGATTAGCGAAGAAAGTGATCCTTATCTACATGATCTTCAAAAGTACGGCAATCCGAAATATGTTATGCAAGCATGGGATGTAGCAAGCCGGACACATACGTTTTCAAATCAATCTTCAACAAAGAACAGAAAAATTGCACTAATAGGTGATAGTTTTGCTCAAGACTTTTACAATATGATCGTTGAAAGCAAACATCTTGTTAACTACGAAATCTGTGTCCGTTATGTATCTGCAGTCTGTCAAATCTATATTGGTCCAGAAGATAGGCTACAATTTATTAAAGCAACACACAAACAAGTATGTATGAATGCGAATGATATCAAATACTCCTTGCCACTTATTCGTCAGGCAAATATAGTTGTGCTAGCCAATAATTGGAAAGAATGGAGTGCTCGTCGATTACCGTCAACGATACAATTACTAAATTTAACAAGGCAACAGCAACTTTTTGTTATAGGAGCAAAAAGTTTTAGTTATGTTAACTCTATGTTGTATATGAACAAGTCGATGAACTATCGTATAAAACAACGTCAATATCCAGAACTAGTGTTCGTGAAAGTGAATAGATTATTGGAACAAACAATGGATAAGTCAATATTTGTTAATATACAGAGGATGCTGTGTACGGGACACAATGAGACGTGTTATCTGTTTACACCAGATGGAAAACTAATATCGCACGATGGCAGTCATTTGACAAAATATGGTGCTCGTCATGTAGGAACTATTATCTTTAATAATGAACCGCTCAATAGATTGTGAGATAATTATCAGTGCAATAAAAAGCTCAAACTAATCTATGAATAAATCAGAGTATGGAATGAAGGTGAATATGTTCTAAACGAAGAGGACATCTGTAATGCATCTAACACCAGACCCATATCGCTGCTAGATATCTTCCTAAAAGTAATTTGCAGGTTGTTCCTAACTAGGTTTCAGAAGGTACGTAAGGGACGTGAAATCCTTTTCGATAAGCAATTAGGATTTAGATCCAACTTCAAACTCCAAACTAGAGTTCTGCTATTGATCGAAGAAATTGCGTCCTTGATATCTAGCAGTTCTCCTGTGGTTACAGTGTTTCTGGATTACAAATAGGCCTTTGACCAAGTTATGAGTGGAAGGTTGCGTCGGCAACTGTAGTCGTATGGGAATTCCTAGAGCATATGTAGAATGGATAAAAGCATGGTTAATTAACAGAAAAGGCTATGTGGAAATTCACGGATCTAGATCTCAACGGTTTTCTATTGACCGTCGTGGACCCCAAGAGTCCAGTTTAACTAAGTCAGTGTGAGGTGGAGTGTGGGTGTAGATCTTTTCATTCATTCACACTCACTCCCACACCCACACCTACACCCACACATCCATAGCAACACCCACATCCCTAATTCATTACGATGCATTAAAAATAAAAATCATCATCATCATATCGTTTTAAATATAATACTTGATGATGTATTGAACATAATCAAAAAGATCATATATTTTGACTTCAATGCATTACAATATATTGAATATATTCAGCATCATAATTTTGTTTAATTGTACTGTATTATAGCATATCAAACACAATCAACACGAATATATGGTTTGAACTGGAAAACATTATAATATACTAGAACATCATCGACGTTGTCATATTTTTTTAACTGTAATATTTAGTAATAAATTGAACATAATGAATAAAATCATATTGTCGTCCCTCTAATATATTATACTTAGGGGTATCCAAAAGTAGTGGCAACGACATTTTAGTACCACTTAGTAAGCTTGATAAAAGTTTCTTTTTACACAGGATGATAGAGAAAAAAATGCTCTTTCTTTCTATGCTATTTGATCATACTTCACATAATATAATGGTAATAAATTTCCAGTAAGATTCGTTTCGTTATCATTCATGATCGTTATAAGTTTGCATTGCAGTTTTCAATTTTNGTTTTGCTGCTATTGGCTCGTTAATTATTTTCTGTTTCTATTTCGTTTGATTTAATCTATTCTTATTTTTATGCTTTTTATCATTCATTTAACTGCCAACTTCGCTCGCTATGTACATCCACGTATCAAATCCACAACCGATTTTAACGCACAAACCTGTATTCCTTTAAAAACAGCAACTTTACATTGATTATTGCTAAAGGGTGTGGGTGTTGGGATTCTTCTTTTCTTCACCAAAGCACTCACACACACCCTCCACATCCACACCCTCTTTGGTATGTTCTAAAGTATTCTATCCCTTTGAGGGCGAAGCACATATATATACGGTTTGAAAATTCCAGTAGAAATGAAAATCTTTAGCTTTGTTCAAGTAGATTCTTTGAGTGTTTTGTTCATTTCGTATCTCAAAATTCTCTATTTTTGACTTTGCAATAAGACTCAGTATAACAATTATGATAGTTAATGCGTTTCAGGTTAGAACTGATTCTGACACTACGATTTTATTTCTTTTATTAAGAAAAAGTCCGCTTTCAAAGGGGTAGAGGGGTCTAAGTGCAGTTTTTACTGCCGTTTACCACCTTTTTCGTTCCTAAGAAACTATAGGAAGAGGATCTTATTCCTACTGTTTTATTGGTATGAAAAAGACGCACTTATTGACCTTTGACCCGATTGCTTTGAATAAGGTAGAGGAAGTTGGAAACTTCGACTTAAAACTTACACTCATTGTTTTCCTTCGAATAATATGTTAAACCTCCACAAAATCTCATATGGTTGGTAATGTGCACATATGTTGAGGACATAGTATAAAGGTTAGTAGTGTCTATATAGGTGTTAGCCGCCGATTTCTCGCCGCCGCTGCCATCGATTGAATGAATGTATAGTTGAAACTTCTTCCTTTTCTAAATAATCAATTAGGCGACACAACAAAAAGGTATGAAACGTATAAATAGTTGTGTTCGCATTACACATTCATTGACACAACTAACATTGTTGCTAACATCGTATTATATCCAGCAAGTGAAGAAAAACTGGTTACTCCGCTAGGATGGCGCACTGTATTCGGGATGTTTACATCACACTCCGTTCTTTCAAGACCGGTCAATCTCTTGTATGGGCATACTTTGGTCCACTGACATCATTAAAAACAAAAAAGCGATCGATAACAATACTATTTTATTGCAAGATTTGCTTTGACAAACAACTCAATGAGCATGCTGATGATCCATTGTCGTCATTGGCGATACAGAAATAACTTACTTATTACACCGAGAACGTGAGCACTGGAAATATGCTTTCACATCTTTCTACGAAATACGGAATCGACAGTAAAGAACAAATGAAAATCACTGCTGAGCATGTTTCAAACTTCATCAAACGATCAACATACGCAACAACGAAATGGAACAAAGATCGTAAAGAATGGCTTGCTTCTGATTTAATATTAATGTGCTGACGCGATCTATTACAATTTTCTATTGTATCGAATAAAGGCTTTCAAGATTTTTTGATGATATATGGTATTGTCAACACTGCCGACGATATTCCTTCTCTGGCAACACTCAATCCTTTTCATTTAAACAAATTATATGATACGTACATGGATCGTCTCAATGAAGAATTGAAAGAAACATCGTATTTCCGAGGTATTACATGCGATATGTGGACAGACAA